TTCGGTGTTGCAGTGTGTCAAAAGCATACGTTGAAAAGTTAACCTAAGAGGGATTTTTTTGTTCGATGATGAGGGAATATTTAATGCAGCAATTGGTGACAATTGGTGAGTGAAACGCCATCTTTGACGGCCCTCACGACAGTCGAGTTGAGGCTGCTTTAGTCGCTGTGTGCTCGACCTTCGTATAACTCTACACTAGGACTTACAACTCACTTTGTGCCTCACTACTCGATGAATAACGTTGCAGCTTTTAGCAATTTTTTTTCTGTAAGGTCACACAGTTTTTCATTATGAAACTCAGTCAACTAATAATTTTTTTGATTGAGTCAGAGGTTTTATTAGGCTTGCACCGAATGCAGCCATGAAGATTGGAGTAAAAACAGTTATTTCTCTTAATTAAAAAACAGTGTTGATTTTTTTCACGGCAGTAGACTTTAGTGTAAAATGCCGGGAAACTAATTGGCGAGTATGACCTAAACTCGTAATAACTTATTGTAGACCTCGCGTTGTTCATTTCAGAGTTCATGTAAACCCACTTGGCTGTAACACACGAACGCGAAATTGTTGAAGCTATCATAGAAATTATGTAAAGTAATTCCATTCTAAATTGCGCTTGATGATTTTAAAATTTTTGGGGATGAAACTACCCTATTCAGTGTAAGATGCGAGTTATTGGAAATAAATGATGCTTCCAAATGTTGCAATTTGTTGTATTTTACAATCAGCGCTGAAGAGTTTGGACGCAACCAATGTGCGGCACTTTACCTGGTAAGTAGTTTCGACTACTAGAAAATTGTCAGAAAAGTTTAATATATTGTGCGTTATTGGTCAGAAAGACACCAGAGACAACGATCAGCCGCGTGGATGTATTGAATAATTTATTGGATCCTAGCAGATGACTGTCCGCAGATGACCGTCCGCCACGAACTATTAGAAATAGTCCAGGCAAATAATACTCGGAGGTTTCTCACGTCACTGTTTCACTGAAGTCTGCTTTAGAGCCTTCATAACGCTTTGGCATAGAAATCGCATACTTTTTGTTAGTACTCGACGCTGGAGTCATTCATTTGTTTCCAAAACTAGAAGAGACCTTAAATTACTTTTTCATTAAGTTTTCGTAGAACATCACTAGGTTATCATCTTGATATTACTCGGAAATAGATAAAAGTTTGTTCGTTAAAACTCCATCACTTTGCACTTAGAATACGATGCAATGTCTGCATGGTTTTTCGGATTGCCCGTTAACACCTTTCAAGCTGGGGCAAATTCCATGATTTGTGCAATCAGATAAAGTTTTGCAATAGATAAAGCGGTGAGCGTACACAGTGCGAGGATCGCAGTAAAAAGTGCGCTTCGACAGAAGCCGAAGCTGTATTACGACAAGTAATCTGCTACGCTGCTAATCATCCGTCTTTTCAAGCTATGTCAGCTTGTTATGCAGATAGTGAGGAGTGATGTAAATATTCCTTTTTGATGGGTATGTTTGCTATTCCTTTTTCGGTGCATTATTGCTTGCCACTGTCGGAACAACATATATTCATATCCCTGGGCGACTTGCATATGCTATGTTCAATGCTGCTGTTGTTACGTTCAGCTGGTCAACATCTGTTTGACGAACAAGGGAAGTACCTGAGAGCCAAAACATCTAGGATGGATATTCTGCAGGCCATAGAGTACCTACTACCTCATGGGGTTTGTAAACATTTAAGGGCTTTGATGAGCATCTACCACAAGCAAACTCTGTTTATCCAGAAAATGAGTAGCTTTGTTTATTAGAATAGAGAGCTTCGAGAAAAAATGCCGCCTGATTTGTTTAGCGTTGTTGTGGCTGCTTATTTCTGATCTTAGGAGTTAAACATGATTTTCCTTCCCTAAAATCCACCTGATTAAAAAATTGCTGAATTAAGGATTGATAAATGGAAGTTATGAGGTTTTACAGGGAGTGTTTGTGCGCGTAAGAAATCAGGAGTACAACTTCGATTCGATTGGAACAGATGGTGACAGAGACTGTCCGAACTTAGTATCTACGAAGTATTTATTATTTAGGTAGGAGGAAGGAATCGTCCAGCCAGGTGAAACTCAGAAAGTTGAAAAATTACCATGACTGTCAAACACCGGCGCAATTTGCCGAAAGTCGTCACATTAAACAAGTCCAGAATGCTATACCATCGTTTGTCGCAAGTATATCCGACCGGACGTCAGTATTTTGGCATTACCACGAAAGCACCACACCGAACATGCCTAAAGTTCCTAAAGCTGAGGGAACGGTCGTGCTAGATAACTATTAAAATTAAATTTAACAGAAAGTATGAAACAGATAGTCGGATAATTCATTGAGAAACATAAGAACATTTGGTGGCACCCAGCATTGAAATAGACCAGACGACGCAGGTATTGGAAGCCTGCCTACAGTATCACTACCAATGCTTTGGAAAACTTACAGAAGGTTATGCGACAATCCAATATAATTTCCTCCGTATAGGAGTATAAGAAAAATTAGCTAGGCGGCTTTATTGATTTTTAGTTATTAGGCAAATGTCCACGGGCATGGCGCGGCAACTGTGACCTTGACGTCTCCCAGAAAGTTGACTGGATATCACTTTACGATTGATTTTCGGACATACGGATACCACCGCACTTTTTAATATAGTACAGGAAGCATATATGTAATCATATCTGATGGCTGACACCAACTTCTGGAACATTTCTACTGGCTCACATTTCATGCATTTTTCCGTTTAAACGTTCATTGATGTCGGACTGTGAGACGGCCAATGGCAATTTATATTTGACATCTTCATGGCAAGTTTTCGCTCATTCAGTTAAACATGTTTTAGCCAACTAAAACAGGATAATAATTCGACATCATACGCCAGATGACAGTCACCTATTATTGGCCCAAAAATTATTGAATCGTATTACATTTTATTCCTTAGGTCCTAGAAGTAGATTGTGAGTACCATGCTGATATTTAACCCGGTTACTAACAATAACCAAATGGTTACGTTTAAATTTAGATGCTCCACAGAAGAGGCCTCAGCTGCCGGGAATTTTCGGAACTTCGGAACTTGTGTGCTGTGTAAACGCTTTAAGCAAACACACCGCTACTTTTTCCGTGACAGTCACACCATTTTAGTCCTTTGGTTTACGATCGCTGTTTAAAACACTTTTAGCTAACTGAAAAGGCCTTTTAGCCCAAAATAACCGGAACGACCTAGTGGGGCATTGTTCTTGTTCTGGAGGTAACTTAACATGTGAAAATCATGCAAAGTTACGACATTCCTTTGAACCACACTCAAAAATATTTTTCATAGTTTGGTTGTATTACAAATGCCGTTTTTTCGGTTGCACATATATAGTAATGTAGTACAAAAAATTTTATTGTGTCACCATCCGGGGTGAAATCATGTGATTGCTACCTACAGAAATAAAAAAACGAATAAATTATTTATGTATTAAGAACTATCTTACTGGTTATTGTAGACATTCTAGAGGGAAATGTTTGGGAAGCAACCGAAACCTGTTTGTCATGAACTAGGATCAGATTCGTGTGCCTCGATAAAATAGGCTGTCTGTAACCTAGCAGGTGCAACTGAAAATCAAGTGTACAGAAGCATGCATATAACTCCAACACAACTTCATTTAGGTAGACTTCTATACAATGTTGAGAGGTAGATCTACCCTCTGGGTTCCAGTCAATGAGACGTCACCATATAGTCATTATAAGGGCGTCATTTACGTGCGAAACTGCTTTGGGCCTATTGGCTTATTAATCTTAGGGAGCAACATGGTTTGTGCCAATTCATCTGTCCAATTTTCGCGTCGTTTGTGAAAAAATTCTCCCGTACAACATCTCATCCCACAGCGACTGGATCTCGGTGACCGTATGTGATAGACTAGTTATATTTCTGCCACGACCTCCGTTGAATTTTTTTGAACTTCTTGGTAATGTCAGCTGCGGTGTGTTCAGTCTGAACAAGACAGACAATTCTCCCCGGTACGGACAAGTAGGATGAAGTTAAAATAGAAGAGAATATCACTTTTTTCATGAACGAGAGCCAAAATATGGACTTTTCCGTCAATGGATTAGTTTTCTGGCGTCAGCGGCCAGCTATATTGTATGAAGTGATTACACCCACCTAGTCCACTTTCAGCTCCTTTATCCACAAAATTCAAATCACTTTAGGGCCATCTTTCAGCTTTTAGGACTAAAATTCATTCACTGCCACTAGGTAGGCTGCGTTTGTCTTTCAAACAGCTATGCTGTTGCAGATGGACACCCTGTATTTTATAAAAAAAGTCCTATTGGGCAATAATAACATCCAAGGAATGAATGAACTTGGATCTCCGTCCTGCCCACTGCCCTTCTAGTAAAGACGGTATACACAGTCGAGTGTTATAAGGAATACGGCAAACTGCGGTTTCTTAATGATGAAACGCGACTTTCCACTGACCTCAGAATGCAAACTTTATGTATTCATTCACGAAATGAACAACTGGCCATGAAAGATTCACTCAAGCTCCGGGCATAATCATATGCCTCCAAGAGGCCTATTTGAGTTCAAAGATCACAAGAATCTAGAACTGATGACATGTATGGTTCTGTGTTGAACTGGATTCCCAGAGTAACTTACCCACAAAAAATGGAACAGGTATAAGAATTGTAATCAGGAAAGACACCGCAGGCGTATCGGAATGATTGTTGAGGCGATAAGGATGTCAAAATCCTTCGTTTTTTAATTTATTACCAAATACCTGTCGATGTTGACGGCTAGTTATCTGTGTTCCCTCTCTTTTGCGCCTCAAGAGACGAAGAATCTAGCGCAATATATGTCATAGAACTAGAGGCTACATCCGCAAAATACTTGGCGTAAGCATCTGATTATATATACTGTCCGAATTTTCAACCGATGCCTTAGTCGACCTCACAAACCAATGAAGCGAAAATTCCGGATTATATAAACATGGTAATCATTAACGTATCTGTTCAGATAACTCACTTTTGCTGTTTGATTCATCCCTGTGAATTCAATCTCTCCAACATACCGTTGCATTACCGATGTTCTCCTCACGCTACTCTGCTGTTGAAGGCCAACGGAGGCAGCAAGAGCGCCGATACCACCACTATCTCCTGGAGACATCATACTTGCTCGATAAGCCGACCGTCGAACTGTGGAAGCTCGCTGTAGCGCTGGTTGATCTTGCATTCTAAGCTAATATTTTCCCATAGGCAGACAACGATAACAAACTGTCACATAATCCACTGCTAAATGACGCTCGTATGGCCTAACTCTCATAAGATTTGTAAGTCTGGAAAATGTTAATAGCCAGACTTATTTGTTTGATAGACGCGTGTACTTGTAGCGTGAGTCAAATACTGGTTGGGTTGGACGCTGGCAGCTGATTGGTTGGGAAAACTTTTACACATAAGGAATCTGTGACACTAACTGCTACCGGAAGATGATCGGTTGATCAACCAACTGGCCGACCGACCGACTGACCGACCGTCACTAAACGAGGTGATGACTGCAACCAGATTGGCTGGTCAACGGCCGGGATAAAATTTGCCAATGACCGGATAAGGCGGTGTTTTCATTGTCAGCTGTGTTGTGCAGCAATACTGGGTGCGTACAGCTACTGGTTACAATAGGAACTGCATGTAATTGGGACTGCGAAGGGATCCGTGGCTTGGGAAAGCCGGATGAATATTTAATGAAGGCCAACAAACGTGAAACAAATACTTCGGCTATCACTATGTAGGATGCCGTTTTGGTAAATACACCAGATAGAGAAAAATGAATATTTTACACAATAATGTGTAGTTAAAACTTGATGTTCCACCAAAAACTGTACTTTTTACATGAGCGGGATAGTGCTAAACGGAATATTAACGTGGTGAGCTGCTTGTGGTAGTGCACAAATGGCCAAAGATCTCTGCTTGTCGTGCGATACAAGGTTTGGATATGCGTAAATGCACGCGGTGTCTTTGTGCACGGTTGGCGATCTCCTCTAGACTTATCATGGAACTACACATCAACTGATAAACTCCAGGTGGTAACTTTTAAGTTTCTTATCTTCCGTGAAGTGACATTTGTTCGTATCATGGATTTGAATTGGACGAATATCTCACAGCCCCTCATTCAGATTTAGCAAACATGGAAACCAAATATACCCAAAACCAAATATGGTTAGCAGATCTCAGGAGACTGCTAATGTACACCAGATTGGCGTTTGCCTTTATTGAAACTTTTAGCAGAGTTAAACGACAAATTTGACCAGTTGCAACCCAAAGGTTTTTGGTATTGTTGGGACAATAGTTATACTAATTAAACTGAATTGACTTCGAATGAAAGACTGGAATTAAGCACGATGTGTATTTGTGCGTTTCTTCCTCACAACTAAGCCTTCAACTTCAACTGCAAGATTCCAGTTTCAGCTAGAAAACAAATTGACCTCGTGGTAACTCTCGCAATATCCCAATAAACCCACAATGACCTTGGCTTCCTTGTAGACACAATCAAGATGATTGAGAAGTACGGCAAGAAGACTACGAACAAACAAAAGTTTTTCTGTGGGTTCGTCATGTGTCGCCTTGTTTTGAAGTGAACGGTTCCAACGCTTCCAGACCGTCGGTATTTCAAGAGGATGTCAGGGGTTTCATTGGCATTTTTGCTTGGTGGGATACCCAACTCACGCGTACCAGTGCAAAATCGTCAGCTGGTTAAAACAGTGAACGTAAACGAGATAGGCCTTGTATTTCTAACCAACTGGTCTCCGAGCCAAGGATTGCAGTATATGCTACCCCAGATTTAAGAAATGCAACCGACTACTCAAGTACACGGTTCATACTCGAGCGCTTCAGTCTGGCTTTTTCAGTCATTTTGGCAGTTTTTTTTACATAAGACTGAACCTCATTAGCAGATCAGTAATGCATGATGACCATGGAGTTTTCATGGATTTATCATGATATACCCAAGAGATAGATCTATCACTATTGCAATGAGTAGGCTGAAGTGCTATCACCATAAAGGTTTCAGGAGACTCTCATTCAGACTGTTGTAACGAGCGTTCATATATGTTTAACTGCTTGGAGAAGACAAATATAGGAAAGCATTCATTATATACATATATTAATTACAGCACAGAGAAGGCGTTCCGCTTTTTCACGCAAATATAGGAAAGCATTCATTATATACATATATTAATTACAGCACAGAGAAGGCGTTCCGCCTTTTTCACGGTGTCAAAAAAACAATGTGTAATGAGCAAAAGGATCCTCAACAATTAGTCCTGCACATTCGCATGCAAAGCAATACATCAGTGATTTAGTTCATTCTTTATTGCTCATATATCTCAATACGCACATTGCTGAAAAGTTGTATTGATATGCTCAGTTGATCAGTGGCATATGGTGGTCCCACCGCTAAGGTGTGGAGTTACAAAATACACATTGAATCGAAACCAGCTCGAGCATGAATTAGACGAAGGAATATTCTGAATCATCCCAGAAATATAGTGCTCTCTTCACCCCGTTTTCGACTTTTTGGCGGAATCGCTATGGCACCGGTGTAGATACTGTTGTTAACGACGTGAGACAATCGCGGAAATACCAGGGAACCAAGATAAAGTGGTCAAATGCGAGTCGTTTTGTGGGCGCATGTCCGGCTCGTGGTAAAATTTTACGTTGAAGCCATTGGTATATTCTCGTTCTGACCCAGGTTTGTCACATCCGACGTCGTATACGAATTAGAAGGGCTGGAGTTTTCAAAAAGTAAGTTAGTGAAGTTCTGAAAATGTTGGAATACCACAAGGAACTGGATCAACAGATTAAGTCAAGGAAAACAATAAAAATGAAATAGGGGTAGTTTAGGAAGACTGCAGGCAAGGTTGAACTAGGCTTCATTTGGACCGAAAATGAACTCAGTTGCTGGAAAATGTTTGGGAACGATTGGGAAGTTATCGTTTCAGAGAGGTTTGGTAAACAATCGGTGGTTTTATTGCTGGACAACGTTTCGCTTTTGACACAAAAGCTTCCTCAAACCAAGTGAGTAAGTAAGTAGGTCAGGGATCCAACCAGTGAGAGTTCTTATGACTAGGTGACTTGATGAGTGTTGGGTGTTCAGCCTGATGTCCCTGTTTGTTGATTAGTGGGAATGACTAAGCTTTACGATAGATCGGTTAGGGGGGGTTCGTCTTTATGATGAACCCGGATTTTTTGTCCTTGTTTTTCAGTCTTTAGGACACCTTCATGGAAAATTCCCCTTGAGGTCGTTCACAGATTTCGTTCGCCTGTGTTCGTCAAAGGGTACCGGGACAATTGGTTTGGGGATGGGGGTGGGGTGGTTAATTGGATCCAACTCTACTTGGATTTTTGTACTTTCAGACCCAGGCGATTTCGCTGATAATTGCACACAGCCTCGTGTCATCTCGGCTGATCTAGGACCGCTCTCCACGCGTTTGCAAGTTCTACCCCCTCTGTTCTATTCACACTCGGATGCTTGGCGATTTCCACCGCCTCGGCCACCAGTCGCTTGCATCGATTTTTGTAGGACAGTGGTAAAGCCATGTTTGTGACCTTACGATAATAGGTGGTGTACAACCACTAACCCACCAGTATGCACAACTTCGATCCACAATAACGGTGTGAATCTCAAACCCCGTCTCAGGATGTCCACATTTTCTAAGTCTATCCTATGCCCAGTGTCTAGAGCATGCTCTGCCATTGCTGAATCTTTGACTAACGCCTGGTATTCCTCTGCGTTTCTCGGTGGTCTGTTAATAGAACGCTTGTGCTCACCGATTCTGGTGTGCAATTCCCTGGCTGTCTGACCTATATAGACCTTTGTACAGTCGTTGCATTTCATTTTATATACACAGTTCCTAGTCCTATCAACCAGAAGGCGATCCTTCAAATGCACCGACGCCGAGCGTGAAGTTTTCCCCTTCTGGAAAGCCACTCTAATTTTAGCCGTATTCAGTACCCTTCTAATGACTTCAGATGTCCCTGCTTTGTATGGAATGACCGCTGTTCCAATCCACTCATTGTTGGGTCTTGGTGTTGGCACCAATACCCGTCTTAGTTGCCGCTTAATTAAACACACTAGGTATTCTCTATCCTGAAGTAGCTTTTTGTCCCAAGTTGTGCTGCTCTTCGGTCGACCTCTTCTGCACACAGTGCTCTTTCTCACCTAAACATCGCTGAAACTATACTAGCATATACTGCTTTTGGATGTGCAGGGGAGTAGTGTAAGGCCACACCGCCATCTGTTGATTTCCGGAAAACAGTAGCTTTTAATTTCCACCATTCCTGTGTGTCATGCAGTCAAGGAGAGGTAGTGTACCCAATGTGGATTCTAGCTCCATGTTAAACTTAGTATGAGGGTTCAATGTGTTCAGATGTTGAAAGAATTCGTCCACCTTATCCCGCTTTATCACAACGAACGTGCCATCTGCGTAACGCCAGACCACCCTTGGTGGACACTCGAACCCGTTTAAAGCTTTCTGTTCGAAGTCTTCCATGTACATGTTTGCCAAAATTTGGGATATTAGTGATTCCACCACTAAACTTGTTCTTGAGAATATATAATGACTGGGGTTTAGGCACACCATTATGCCTTCAACTATCTCGCCTACGGAGAGCTGCGTTTGTTTTTGCAGCGTTGTGTCTGTCAGTAAAAGCCTTCTCGCTATTTCCACGGCGTCCGCTTTAGGGACATTGGTATACACCGAGTTGACATCAGAGCCAACCAGGACTTCGTCTAGCTCTAACTAAAACCCAGCTACTTTTTTTTAGCAAAGTCATACGAATCTTGGATGTGTGTGGGTGACTTGTGGGCAAGTTTAAGGATACCTGCTAGAAATCTGGTCAGCTCATGTGGGGGTGAACCCATGCCATCCACTATCGGAGTACACCTTCCTTGTGAATTTTCGGTAAACAGTGAAGTCTTGGTTGGGTTGCACTTTTTGGGCACAACTGATACCACTTGCATTGCCCCAGATGGTTTATCAACACCACAAATGATGGTAAGTAATTTTTTTCGAAATTACGATGACTCATTTCTTATTGTTACCACTAGTTTCTGCCACCCCAAGGTCCGTCCCACGGTGACACGTGCGGGGAGTCTGCACGGAGCAGATACCACAGCCAACAATTTTCGGACAGAACCTTAAAGTAACTCAAGGAAAAAAGGAATTTCGTTATTGGTTAGGTGATGCATTTTCTGTTCACACACAATCGAGCTAAAATTCAAGTGCATATCGTCAAGTAGTTTGACCCATTCAGGTAACTATACGGACGAACAACTGTTTGGCCCGTA